AATCATGTGTTTACATCCAGTTTCAAGAGATTTTTCTCTGATTATAGTCATCCTACCAGTGAAAAACAATGAGGAACAACAAGTGATTCACCATAGCAACAAACGCATAGTACATACCATACAGTAATCAGTCCATACAGAAAGCTTTAGGCTTTATGTAAATAAATTATTTATTTTCAAAAACTTACAGGTAAGTTTAGCTAGTGCTTTCCCAGAAAAAGATTTTCATATTTAATTCAAAAGGGAAAAGAAACTTGTTTCACTGAGGGTAGAAACAGTAAAACTAGGGAGCTCTAAAAGTCAAGTAAAGGTGTCTAAACAGTATTTTCCTTCTGCAAGAGCTGCCATGCAAGAATAACCAGAGAGATTAAGCTGACTGTGTTCAATGAAACTGCCCGCACACACAGTCACTGTGTGCCTTGGCGACTGCAGAATGCAAGAAAGGCAGAAGCTTGTGTCACAATTTGAAAACGATACCAAAAATTCATCTTTGCACATTTTGGTCTCCACTGTGTTTGCTAAGAGCATTTCAAACACCACTCTCTCTATTTAACACATTCTTTATCCGCAGTCCTAGTCTGTCGAACTCTCCTACATAAAAACAGGCAGTAATGCACAGCCCTCCCACAGACACATTCTAAGGTCCTGAATAACCCACGACTAGCAGGGATCTTTGCACCACACTGCTCTTGTTGTCCAGTTCTTCCTGTTTAACGTGGGAAAACATCCTTTATTTGTGAGGAAGGTCAGCAGTACCATTACAGGGATGAATTGAGCTGTGTCTTCTTGTAAATGCAGCTTGCTAACTCATTCCCATGAACATCTGGGAAAGAAAACATCTACAACTGGCTCATACTTACAGTACTCAAGTGCTGTGATTGCTAACTGGCTTCTCAAGCACTGCAATTCTTCAATAAAGTTGATAAATGGTAGAGGAGTATCAACACACTTAATTCTGCGCTCATGTCTCCAGCCTTTTTGGGCACATCCTAGAACACTGCCGGAAGAAGCCTGGACCTTTTTGCTAATGCATTCAACCTCTCCCTCTGTTTTTATCTAAAAGCATCTTCAACCACTCTTCTATTCTCATTTCTGCCTCTCTGGGTCAGAACTGAACACCCTGGGAAGCAGAGAAGAAAAACCTGGATTCAACTCCTAGTCCTGCAACAGTTCAACAGATTCCCTTGCAGCAAGGGGAAGGTGGTGTTGTGTGCCTGATGAAAAGTACTTACCCAGATCTCCTCTAAACCCTTTTCATTCCTCGTGAGACACTGTCTCCCCTCTACTTCCCTGTAGATCCAGGTATGTGGTATTTCCAGGGGAAGCATGCAATGACCATGACCGTCTTCACAATTTAGCCTACATTGGAGCTTCTGTTGTCAAATTAGATGTAGCTGCACTTGTTTTTTCACACATGAACTTCCACCTTAAATTTGAAACTGGAATGGAACTACTTATTACACATGCTATGCACCAAAGCTCTCCCTAAAAGATTCTTGTTTTGAACAACTTACTGACATTAAGTCCATATTTGGGAGGGTTTTTTCAGAGGGAGGCAAGAAGGGGAGGAAAGAGATGTGGGGTTTTTTGCTTTCCATTAATATACAAGGACAGAACTGATAGGCAAAAAAAAAAAAGATTGCAGATTTAAAGAACACTTGCTAGCGCGTGTGCCAGATGCTGATAGCTATATATAGCCACTCGAATGAGAATGACTGCAGAGAGTATCTTATCCAAGCAAATAGGAATTTGCCTGAGTAAGATCAGGGCAAAAATAAAAAAAAAAAAAAAAATCAACATTTAATCTATTGTGCATTACTTCTGCTGCAGAAGAAGTTGTGCAAGCACTCCATGAAGTGGAATAAGAACATGTCCTCATGATGACCTTATCTACATTTCACATAAATGTGCTCCCAAATTTAACAGAACCAAATCTACCTTTTTCACCATGAGCCTGCTAGTCATTCTTGAATACAACCTCGATTTTCTTGCTCCATAACCCTTAGAGAAGTAAGCAAAGGACAACAGATAATGTTTCTTCAATGTAATAAAAAGCAGCATGCAGCCCATAAGATGAAATTCAAAATCAGAACTCAGATATAAAGAACATGATTTCCCATCTTAGGTTTTTCTCATTGCCTCACTCAACAAAATTTTAGAAAAGAGAGGCACTTGATTTTCCTGCCTCCTCTCCTCTGTACCCTGGTATCACATTTCTTTTCCCTTCTATCCAATACAGTGGGTTTTTACCTAGAGCAATATCATTTCTAAGTAGTTCAAAATGTGAAATAGCAGTACTTGAGATGATGAGCTATCATTTCTACAGAGCAGTATGATAGTTTTGGAAGGACTGGGAGGTTGGGTATGGATTCTAATTAACACTGATGAACCTGGCTCCTAAAGATTAAATTCCCAAATGAGTAACTACTACCTTTCTACACACAGGTCTATCCAAGTTATTCTCATTAAAAAAAATTACAAGCTTCAGTCTGTGTCAAGATATTGAAGGCTTTATAAAACTGATTAAAAATATTAAATGAGGTATTGAACTACATTAAAAATCAACCTTTTTCATGTATTGAAAAGTAATGGTCTATAATTTGTATTCAAGTGATTTTATTTCCAGTGAATAATAATTGTAATTCTGCCAACTTTGTGCCCTGTTTCTCTGAAAACTTCAAGGGATGTACAGAAGAGGATTTTGTATCCTGCTAAAGACACTTTGTGTGACATTGCTTCTTATTCTTCATTTCTTACAGGGAGGCTTAACTTTGTTTCTTTACGTGTTTATTTTTCCACTGATGGTTCCTCTAAACTCGTAAACACAAATGAAAGTGCATAGGTATTAGATAGATAGATAGATACCTGAAAAGTACTGTAAGCTAAATGCAAGTGCATGGAAACAGAGGACTCAACTTGAATGCATTAGTAAGTGAACTTTCAAATCAGGAGATATATAACAATATATTCTTGTTTCCTGTTCTTTGCTATGGAACTTGAAGTTGTCTATAGATGCGCAATGTTCAAAATAAAACTGAAACATCACACGGAAGCACTCATCACTTCACACGCCCCAACTCTACAGGAGCTGGGGAAATGGGTCATTTCTCACCCTTCACTTTTCTCCCCTGCCCTCTGTCCTCCAATTTTTCCTCCCTCGCGTCTCATGTTTTATCTCACACCTACACCCTGCACTCACATTTTGCTTCCCCTATTGGCATCTTTTTCCCTTACAGCCTCCTGCAGTTCAGTTTCCAGTTCAGTTAAGCAGCTGTAGAACTTGTCTAGGCCAAGCTGAAAAGTATAGGCTTTGGACCATGGTATCACTATGAACCCATTTTAAGAGCTGAAAGTAGAAAAAAAATGTGTAATGACAAAATTAGGCCTGCAGACAGAAAGCAAAGTCTGTAAAAATGGTCCAGAGGGTGGTGATCAGTGGCATAAAGTCCTGCTGGAAGTCAGTCACTAGTGGTGTAACCCCACAGGCAATACTGGTGTCAATACTGTTTAACATCTTTATTAATGATCTGGATGATGGGGCAGATGCACCTCCAGCAAGTCTGGAGATTATACAAAACTGGGAGGAGTGGGGCTGACGCACCAGAGGGTCGTGCTGCCATCCAGAGGAACCTCAACAGGCTGGAGAAATGGGCAAACAGGAACCTCAAGAGGTTCAACAAGGGGAAATGTAAACTCCTGAATAGAGGTAGGAATAATCCCAGCACCAATACAGGCAGGGGGCTAACTGGCTGGACATGAGCTATTCAGCGAAGGACCTGGGGGTCTTGGTGGACAACATGCTGACGACAAGCCAGCAACACCTCACAGTGCTGCCTACACTAACCCCCAGAGCACATGAACTGCCCTATCTGGCCCATCTCAGCCACACACACCTTTTATTTTACACACCTTTTATAAAGCTTCGTTCCACACCTGCACTCCAGATATCCTATCCCTAAGCTCTCTTCCTCTCTCCTGCTTCCCATATTCTCCTGGTTGCTCTTAGGCAGCTTTCTTCCACTCTCCTTTCTGTTTCCATATAGCTTCCCTGACACTGTTGCAGCCTACTTGTCAGCCTGCTTTCCCTCACAATCATCCTCTATGGCATCTCTACTCTTCCCAGGGCCACTAGGGATACAAAGTCTTTCCTGGCCATCACCTTTAGCACCACCCTGACAAGGGAGGCCTCATTTTGCCTGCAATGTTCACAGGACCATGACAGCTTCTTTGCTCAGAGCAGCTTAAAACTCCTGTCCCTAATAGAGGACAGTGAACATTTGATGCAAAGGAGAAGTTTTATGAGTTTGAAAGCAGAAATTTAAAAAATGCATGGAAATTCTTACAAAACTGTACTAGGAGATGCATGATGCAAATAACAAGAATGGAAAAACATTTTGAAATAAAAAGAAATATGATTGAAAACTAAAGGGAGGGTGGATTAGGCAACACTGACTGAAAACACTTTCAGTCTTGGTCAATATTTCTCCCTGTAGCAATACCAGTGGGTTACCAATTTCATCTTGTGTCACTTGGGATGGAAAATGTTAGAACAAAGGAAATGTCAGGGTAAAGGAAAAAAAGCTGGGCACTTTTATCACCAGGCCTCTCAGCTCTCCAATATGAGATCTAAACATTGTCTTTCATTAGCTCGTTTCAAACCCCAACACCTATAGCACTTAATATTTTTCTTCTGAGTAAGTTGCCCATTATTTTTAGAATCGCTTAGCTCTTTTTTAACCTACCAGAAAATATTTTTTTGTCCACCTCCTTCAATTTCAGTTAAATGTTTGTATTATGTTATCACAAATGTTGTTTCATTAGTACTGCATCCAATAAAATTTGCGAGAAGTTGATGAACACTTCAATAGCCCCCCTGCAGTCCACTCTCTCCTACCATAGCCTACATTGCTATCTGTATCTAAGCAAGTTAGTTTAAAGCAATCTCAAATACGTCCACAGGTTTAGAAACTGAAGTAAAAAATTATCCTTATGCATCAGCATGGATTATGTACAACAAATGAAATCTTTATTTCCTGAGGTAGGCGAATTTGGAATGCAAATGGTAAATCCTGAATTTCAGACAAACAAATGATTGACTATCAAAACTCCTTTCCAAACTAGTCCTTAGAGTATTGCATACATGTAAAGGGAGAAAATTTGAAATATTCAGACAACTGCCACAGGCATCTTTAATTCTAGCAATACTTCCTACTTGCAGATAGAAGCACAAGTCTGAAAGAGGTAATAATAGCTAAATGGAAATTAGTATCTGCCATTACCTGATCTATCTGAACAATTATAGCAGTTTGTGAATGCTAAATTTGCTTATAAAATCTGGCTTAAGAGTCTAAAACAACCCTTTTTCAGAAACAACATATCACCTACGTGTTGTTTGGAACTGATGGAACTTTAACTTAGAGAAAAACCACATGGGTATAATGCCTAAAAGAGCCGAGAGGAGTAATTGCTTCCAGAGAGATTTCTTTCCCAAACTGAACCGAAGGGGGAATACAACAGTCAATTCCATTTCTGAAAAACAGGCATTAAGAGGCCAGAGAACTCCACTAAAAATTAGATTTTTCCTCTCCTTTAACAATGCCAGAAATAAAAATGTTAAGACTAAAAACATCTGAAGATACACCACAGCTGTCAAATAAGAGTAAACAATCACTGTCTCTGCTCTGAGAAAGTCATAGTTATTCAGTCAAAAAGAGTTGTTTAGTCCTATAAATACTATAAATTGCTTAAGTCATGGGAGTTCTACCAATCTGCACAAAAAGATAATGTGACCACCTTTGTATTGGCACACAGGCCTCTCAAAACACCCCTGAAAAAAAAATATCACCCTTTATTCTGCAAAAACCAACCATTTCCTCCCCATCCAAAAAGATCAAATAGAAAGTCACAGACTGTGTAAGTGAAAAAGCAAGGTGTCCTACTGGCATAAACGGAATGTGAAATAAATGAACATAAAATAAGTCCAAGCAGAAATCTTTCATATCTACTGCAGATAACAGAAATGTTGTCTAGAAGCTTTTTCAGACTTGTACTTCTACTTGTATTGTGGCTGGTTTTCTACAGATGGTGATTCTGTAGGAAGCAAACCTCAATCTTCTTAGAAATTGGTTTGAAACAGAAACAGATACTATGAAATAAAAGGAGAGTCTCCTTGCTGTATTCTCATCTATTCCACAAATTTCATATTGTTTAATTAATTTATTTAGATTGTGAAATTACTTCGACATCACTGAGGATGGCAGAACTACTTCTGATCACAAACAGAATTTAATTTAATTAATTTAATCATTGCTAAAAAGAAAGAAGTCAACAAAATATGAACAGTTAGAAGTAATACACCTGTCTCGCAAAAAAAAAAAAATTAAAAAAAAATAAATCCAGACTTTATATGTGAAATTACTTTTCTAGCCAAAAAAAAAAAAAAAAAAAAATAAATCCAGACTTTATATGCGGACTGTCAGGAAAAAAGCCAGTGAAATAACATATACTACTAGAAAATGTGCCATTGTAGGAAGTGTTATGGTCCTGAAGACAGTGAGCATTTAACTGTTGAGACAACTTTACATTACTGTGAGGTTGCTATTTGCAATATACTATGTTAGCGTTAAAAAAAAAATAAACATGCAAATTATTATGTTAAAAATGTGCAAAGAGACAGATGCAATTTGCAGTTCTACAGCATCATCCACCCATCCATCCAAGGGGGGATGTCATAAAAAGCATAAAAATCACTTACCTCTGCTTGCTTAGGAATGCTGAACTTGGCTATCTTTGACTTGGTCCTGGCTGGATCAGGCTTGTTAGAAGGCACTCCCCTATATGACTTGGTCGTCTCTGCTGCTAACTTCAGCTTTGGAGACTCATCAGGAGCCTGGTCTTGACCATCCATTGGCCTGACATAAGCTGTTGGTTTTTGCTGAACCAGACTGGGCTTCGAAGCAAGAGAGGGTGGGAAGTTTTGGACGCAGTGCCCACCACCGTGCTTTGCTGGCCTCTCTTGCGCTTGAGCTCCTCCTTCCGAACTACAATTGAGCTTTGCTGGCTGCTGCACTCTGTTGACGTTGTCTCCTAGCGTGGCCCTCAGTGAGCTTTGCTGGGCAGTGTTGGAGGAAGAAGAGGTGGGACTCGATGCATAGCGTTTTAGTTTCTCCAGACTGGATTTTTGGTTCGCCAGTTTGAAGTCACCCTTGTGTGACTCCAGCGACCGGTGCCCGTGCTTGCTTGCTCTCTGCTGGCCATCCAAAGTGGCATTGTGTCCGGCCTTCTGCCAACCCATCGTGGCGCTTTTGCCCTGCTGGGCAGGTAGGGCTGCTGGTGTGGAAGAAGTAGTGCTGGAAATGGGAGGAGGAGGTGGAGGTCTCGAGTCTGCAATAAGATGCTCATCGGTCTTGGGGAGAGATGTCTGAGGAACCTCAGGTTTTGGAACCCCAACAAGGTGGCTCTGGTTTGATCGGTCAGTTAACAAGTCTTTCATTTCATCATAGTTGCCCAGCATATTCTGAATGCGGTTTGAGAGCTCATCCCCCTTGTTAGTCTGCAAAACAAAAATTGAGTGTTCTGCAACAGTCAATGTAAGAAAAAAACAACCCCAAAATTCCCTGAATGCTTCTGCTAGAATCCTAACTGAAGTAGCACTGCTTTATTCAGCAGTGGTGCTGAGCGATGAAATCGAAAATCCTTATTGTCTCTGAAGACACTTGTCAACATCTTAAATCTACCCTGAACTGGAAAAGCTATAAAGGGCCTTAGAGTATATAAAAAAAGAAATCTATCACTGGTATCACGCTGTAGTTAAAGTATATTACCTGGAAACTAGAAAATTTATTATTGCAACTACACAGAATGGTTTGGATTAAATCTGACCATGATAAAACTTTTCCTGTAGCCCAGTGCAAGCTCTCCTTCAGCCATGAACAAAAACACTGCATTCCCAATTTCCTTCTCTGCCTGCTAAGTTTTCAGACTGCGGCTGGGAAGCCACACAACATCCAGTGTAAGCACTGAATGAACTCACCAGTCTAAGCCAAACAAATACTCTGAGGTGACCTGAAGACAGCTCGTGGGACAACAGGAAAACTACAGTTGACTACATTCCTTCTCTGAAAATACTCTGGGAGGATGCTTGCTCCAGGGCACTCTCCTCTTTGGGGGAAAAAAAAAATAAAAATGAACACAATCCCCCAAATTCTTCAAAATGCTCAGTGCTTGCAGTGTGCAGCAGGAGGGATGCAGCCACCCTCCCTCACCTTTAAGATTAATTATTGTCTTTAAAATCATCCATTTACTTCCTGACTGAAGAGGCAGAAGCTCCACAAAGAAATAAAACAAGCAAAGAAAATGAAAACATATTGGAAAAGATTTCAAACTCTTGCTTTTAAAAGCCACTGTAAGCAAAAGGGTGTGTCATTAGCATTTTTGCAGCTGAGATTTTTCTGAACCCTGTCAGGATTCAGGTGTGTGATGTTCTTTGCTTTATGTTTTCAGAGGAAGACAGTAATGAGCCAGTGGTATTCTCCCTTTTCTCTCCCAGACATGGGTTCTGGAGGGGAATACTCCCATTGGCTTCAGAAGGACAAGCTTTCATCTCAAGACTCCCTGTTTTAGAGGAAAACAAAAAGAAGGAGAAAGAAGGGAGTAGAGGGAGTGGATAAAACCCCCTGAAAGTTATATAAAAAATACAAAAGATGTAGCAGCAATGTCAGTATTGGTTTTAAGCCTTCAAATAAAATTGAGACACTCAAACAAAAATGTAAGGGAAACGCCCCTAGTTTAGAGTTTTCTTTTAGGGTTTCCTATTAAAAAAACTGAGTTCAAGCAAAAATGCCCAGTAAATGAGTGCAGTGATTGCCACATGCTAATTTTCAGAGGAGTATAATGGAAGTAACCCTAAGTCAGGCAGTAGAAGCAGTTCTCTCTTGCTTGAAACTTGTCCCCTCAAATTTCAAGGACATTACCTTGCAACTATGTAAAATACATTACAGCTAGCTTTCTTTTTTCATTTGTTACAAGACTGTCTAACAGAGTTGAATATATATCAGTAATATATATTGAAGGGAAGTGGGAAGGGAAAAACTCAGAAGTGTTGCATTCAAAACACTGCTTTGCAAAATCAGAGTAAGACGGCTCAACCACTACAGCCCAATGCAGCTGTTGTTGTCACAAGGACAATAACCTGATATGAAAAGAAATATGAAGCATTAATTCATAAACAGCAAGTGGCTTAAAAAAAAGGGCATTCTTTCGCTTCACAGAAATCATATTGATGTCTTAGAGAAGAGGAAACTATTAATGAGACTTCACAAGTGGGAAGCATCACATACGCCTGAAAAGAAAAGAAGGTTGGAGATACACTCATCTGTCTCAATGAAATGACTTCTACACTTGGGCATTTCCTTGACCAGCAGATTTACTTTCTGGAAGGCACAGAAAATTTTCCTTTTACCCAGTGGATCTCTTCTGTGCTTCCAGTGGATCCTCCATCTTGTGTAGATACCTTGTAGAGAGAGATGCATTTCCAGCTTCCCTCTAAGGAGGGAGATCTGCCCTTGGGCCCATGCCCAGTCTGAATCAGCCAGGCTGTGTGTGAAGTTTTCTTCCCTGCCAGGAGCATGGTGACAAGGGCTACCAAATGGAATGGAGCCCCTGACACCTACAAGTCTCCTACAGCACAGACAGCTTGTGGGGCAGCTCTCAACCCAGCTGCCTTTAGGTCCATGAACGTAAGAGAATTTTTGTGCAAGTTTTGCCCCTGGGAAGTCCAACTTCCCTAACAGAAGGTCCATTCTTTCTGATAGCTGTTATCTAGATGGGAAGTAAATAAAAGCTTAATTGCAGACTGTCTTCTGTATGGATGTGATGTGAAGGTCACACAAAGACACCTCTTATTGAGAGATTGCAGATAACCACAAGAATAATTGCAGCAAACCGATCAAATGCCTGTACCATGGCACATGCTGGCAAGTGGTTGGTGTTGTTTATTCCTTCTGGATACACTGGGGACAACTTGAGGTGAGAAGATTTTGTGTTGATCTCAGCTCACCTAGAAGAGTTCACCTACATCCTCTTGGGAACAAGATGGGACCTGAGGTAACTTGTTAAGAGCTGTAGATGTAACATCTTGTCCTATTATTTGCTCTGAAATATTGCTGTCCTTATTTAATCATTCACTTAGGGAAAACATGATCATTAAATGAGTACATAGGAAAAACATTCTGTGCAAACATTTCTAACTTACAGTGCTCTGATATTCTTCTGCAATGCAAGATGTATCCATGCATTTGAAGACTGCAAGATCCAACACTTCTAAAAATAAGCCTGACAGTTGCATGGAAAGCCATCAGAATTTTTTTCTTCACTAAAAATACTGATATGGTTAAGGAGGCAAGGTATTCTGTCCAGGAAATATCCAGAATGAAGCTCCTACATTTTACCCACTGTAAAAGGCATTTTACGTAAAATATACTGGATTTCCTCTAATCCTTCATAAAGGGTTGCTATGGATACTTTGAACAGGATAAGGGGTAACCCGAAGAGTCAAGATTTTTCAGAAAATCTGATGTTACAGGAGTAGTGATATGTGTCAAGGTGAGAGAGGACATAAGATTTAAGAGATTTACAGTCTGCCTTTGATTTTCAGATATGGTCTTCTGAATGGCAAATCCTTTGGTTTTAGCTCATGTTTCTCAAGCTGTGCAGAGGAATACTGAATTTAATCAGATCTTGCAGTAAATGTCTGCTGTAACTTCTTCCCCCTCTCGAAACACCTAAAACTTGAACATGATCTTTAAAGACAGTAAGAGTGGGTTTCAATTTTGCTTTCACAGAAAGGTTTCCTCTTTTGCAGTCAGCCTCTCTCCACAATAAGATCAACATGCCCAAGCCACAGCTCTGTACCCCCACACTGAAAGTTCACAAATGCTTGGATGAGTTCAGACAGTGCAATGGTCCATTGCCAGTGTAGACCTGACATTCATAGTACCCCACTGCTGAAGTTTTGGTGTCCAACACTGTCAGCATGACTGGTCTTCCCAAGCAGCTGTGACTGCCATGCCAAATGAGCTGTGGATGAGTTATACAGCTGGCTTGGGCTTTGCCTTTCTCCATGTTTCCCTGCCAAAGCCAGCTGGAGGATGTATTTCTGCACCATCTTCTTTACACGCTTGTCCAAAATAAGGACACGGTGTTTAAAGATAAGAAGCATGGATACAGCCATTATTCTGATCTCCCCATAGGACAGAATCACAGAACCGTGTAATGGTTTGGGTTGGAAGGGACCTTTAAAGGTCATCTGGTCCAACCCCCCTGCAGTGAGCAGGGACATCTTCCATTAGACCAGATTGCTCAGAGCCCTGTCCAGCTCGACCTTGAATGTTGCCACAGATGGGGCTTCTACCACCTCTCTGGGCAGCCTGTTCCAGTGTTTCACCACCCTCACTGTAAAAATTTCTTCCTTACATCTAGTCTAAATCTAGCCTCTTTTAGTTTAAAACCATTGTTTTATTGTCACTGTTCATGTCCTGTTGCTACAGGCCCTCCTAAAAGTCTACCCCCGTCTTTCCTACCCTCTCTGCTTCTAGAGACAACAATGATTTTTCATCCACTCCTGTTAAAATTGATGGAATTATACTGTGGTTGCATAGAGGTGCCTTTGGACATCATAACTCAGAAACTACTGGTGTGTCCATGATACACGAAGTCTGTGCCATGACAGTCAGTACAATGGCACACAGGTAATAATCAAAGTGTGCAAAATATTCCAACTGTACCATTTTCATAAGTGAATTGAGCCTCAGTATTACCATCTTTAGGTACCACAGACAAAATGGTATCAGGGAACCATCAAAATGACAGGCCCTTTTTGTGAGAGATCTATTTGATTGGACCTACCAAATGGAAAATTATTAGTCCCCATTGCAGAAGAGCCCTCACTAAATGCCAAGACACAGCTGGCTTAAGCTTTTCAGGCTTTTTTCCATGGATTAGCCCTTGATTGGTCTCACAACAGACTTTTTAAAGTAGAGCCTTGAGGAGGAGTTCAAGACATTTCCCATGGTTTCTAAATGCCTTTGTAATGAATTTGAAATTCGGGCAGCTGGAGGTCAGCTTCAAGGCAAACAGAGCTGTCTTCTATCAAGGGACATGGTTTGCAAGTGGTAGATCTTTCTTTTTTATTAGGGACTAGAAACAAACAACAATCTGGAAGAACAGCAAGCTAAAAGCTGACCCTGGGGCATGGGCAGAAACACAGAAGCATGGAAGCCAGGTGCAGAAGCCAAGTGCCAGGACTCCCAGAAAGAGGCACTAAAGCACCCAAAGCATCAAGGACAAGTGATGCCACATGAAGGGAAAGGCTTCACAATGTGGTGGTTGTAGCAGTAACTAGGGCATTACAGAATGGCACAGTAGATGATACAGGTTGATGCTTTGATGCACACAGGCAAAGTCACTGGGTTAGCTTGGAGAGAGGAGCAGCCCCCATGGTATACTGCTCTCTGGTCCTGTTCACAAGGGCTTGGTTTGCAGGCTGCTGGAGGCAGCAGTTAAGTGTAGAAGATCCTGTATGACCCTTTTAACAGGGGGTGGGAACAGACAGTTGTGCCTCAACACACTACTGTTATCATGAGGGATAAAACAACGAGTTGGGACTGAGAAGTTATTTCTGCCTTTGGTGAGGGTAAAACATGTCTAGAAGACAAATTTTGTTGGTAATGCTTATAGAAAAAAAAAAAGTCAAACACTAAGATATTTCATTGCATTAACCTGGGCCAGAGCACAATGTTCACTGTATTGTTTGACTCACACACAATTCTAACACAATTGTTTTCTTCTAAGTGTTGCAAAAAAAGGGCACCGTCACCTTCACCTCTAGTTTTAATTCCATCTCAAATATTGTTAGGATATTTCTGATTTATTTCATTCTTGTGTGCTGATGAACATCATAAGAAGCTTATACATACATGTATGTGTGCGTATATATATATATATGTGTGTGTGTGTGTGTATCTAAATCCAATTCTCAATGAACCGTAAATGTTCTCTGTGAATTTTGTGAGGCTAGTACTCACGGGAGGGTGCTGAAACCTGGACAATGCCTTCTGCAGGTTGCATTTTTGTACTGTGGAATAAATAAATAAATAAATAAATAGCCACCCAGCTGGGAAGCATCTACCTTGTACGGTTCACTGAAGAGGGAGTAACTCGTGTTAAACGCACCATCTTCCTGCTGGGCCTCCTGATTTCTCCTTTCCCATTCTTTCCTTCGCAGCACGTTTCTATCCGGCTCGTAGACACTGCAGCAAAAAAAGAGGAATAGCTTTTTAACAGTTAAAAATTAGCAGGCAACATATAAACCAGCGTGAATTTAAAAGTGAAGAACTCTGGTTTGCAGACAGATGGCAAAAAATAAGCAAGACAATGAATCAGATGAACACCAGTCCAAGCAAGCCGAGGAGGCTCAGGTCTCTGGGAATGCTGGTGCTTTCTTCACACAGAGAACAGATAATTAAATTCTTACAGAAGAATAAAAAAGAAATCACAGGGCAGGATCTAGTCTGTGCAGAACTTCTCTGCTTGAAATGTGACGAAGGAAATATCTAAGCAACTTTGACAAAGACTGAAAGTACTCTTAAGGCAGATGGTAATTACATCTATGAGTAAATAGAAATTGTGAACATATTTCCACTTATGACATATCCTCTGAGTGTTGTATGAGAATGCTCCTTTTTTCACATGGATGTGTTTCTGTAGTGATTCTTTCATTAACTAGCTCCCTAAAGAGCTGTTAAAACTACATGCTGTAGTGGTTTCCACAGTTAGGCTGCTTCTTCTGATCTCTGTTAATCAGCCAAGTCATGAAACTACTACTGAAACAATTCCTCTTTCTGATGGATTTGACACTATCACAACTTCAGAGCATGAATAAATGAATACTGGCACGATAGTCTATGTATGGCTGGAGAGAGGATAAAATCACTACATTACAAAACAGTATTAATTTTTAGAAATTAACTAGTCTGGCTCCAATACAGCCATCCAGAATAAAAATTAACTTTTTTTTTTTTTCCCAGAATTCTAGTTTAATGCATGACAACATAAACCAGAGAATCCTTTTCCTGAATTTCCACAGAACAACACAGGTTTGCACATGTCAGTCTGTTACATTTTATTCTCCTCACAAAGGAAACCAATGTGTCTAATAAGGTTTATGTGTTATTTCAGGACAATGTGACGAGTACGCTGATTGCCTGTTTTGCTTAGCTCAGCTAATGCCTTTCTTCTGGCACCGTAAATCTGTAAAGTAGAAATATATATTAATGTCATGTAAGTGCACCATGTGTTAATAAGAAAAGGGTTGTCTTGCTAACCAGCTTCCCAGTTAGCAAAACATATGTTGCATCAGCTACCCATGTGACGTTACCTAGCACGCCTCAGGCAAGGCAGTAAAAAGGCCAACAGCTATCTGATTCTAATTCAAGACTTGAGAGAGCTGAGAATACGTAGGATATGTTAGGCACTATTAGTATTTAAAGACAATGCCTTAGGAGTCACTAAATGGACACAAACTCTCATGCTTACTTGTTAATGCTGCTAACTTGAACTGGACTGCTGAGTACCCTTCTGATGGGTCTGAGGGCATCTGAGGGCAGATGCCAAATTCTGAGCAGGGCTCTCAAACATGGGGGTTTATTATGAAACACAGGGTTTCAGTACAGCAGGTTGGAGACAGCTTCCAGCCACCAGTCTGTTTATTCCTGTTACAGGTGGTCGATGGGGTTTTTTTTTGTTTATCCCATATTTTTCATGAGCAATGCATCTTATTCACATCAACACCCTCTCTTTGAAAAGCAGCATCATGAGGAGGCAATCATAGGGGTAGAGTTTTGGGTATGGAACATGCCTTCCTCCATGAAGAAGGGGGTAGCGAAGGTCTCTCCGTGGGGTCCCTGTGAGTGGACATCATCCGCCAAGGCCAGAGGCAGAGCAGTTGTCATTTACTGCTGTGTGAGCAATGGTCCTCAGTTACTACATCATGCCATCTGAGTGTACTCCCACCAGTTAAGTCAGGGTAAAAGACTTTCTAACAACTTATGTGTCTAAAGTAGACCTTCTGCCACCCTAAATAGCAGTTGTTGAATCAGGTTTTCCTGAAGTTGCAGGGATCTGCATCATCCTCAGCCACGTTTCCCCATCCAGAACCTCTTGACTCTTTGAGATGCTTTGTGTTTGGACTTCAGCAAATAGAGATGGGCAGCTCCCCTGAGATTAATTATAATACTGATCTCTACCCAGTTTCCAGGAAGTAAACAAATGCAATATTCTTCACTACGCCTCATACAAATTTAAAAATGCACCAGTGTGATTTTCTTAAAGTGGAAAGGCATTTTTATCCCCTTATTAGATGGAGACATATAATATCCCTTTATTTGATTGAGACATATTTGACAAAGACATGTAAGTTGTCAGATCTCTGAACCCCGTTCTCAGATGAGAAGTTCACTGTTGGCAATGCAATGCGCAGCCTGCAATAATTCAGAATGATTATGCAAATGACAAAACTGTGTGACAATGTCTAATATGCCATCTATAAGCAGTAAGTTAGGAAGAGTTACAAGTTGAGGGTTGTATTGCTTTGGTAATACCAGATGGCAAAATCTCTAGCATTTGTGAGGCTGCTCCTTATTTGCATGAACATTGCAACAATCACATTTCCTTGAACGTATGTGACCAAATGTATTTATTTATTTTAGTTTGAGGAGAATATTGCCAACTGCTATAATTGTCTTTATTGCAAACACTTCAGTTAATGGAAAATGATTCTTTTTAATAGTTTTCTTTCTTCTTTCTTTTTAAAAAACTTGTCATTTAAAACAATCCCAAATGTACATATACCTTTTTAATTGTTTACAGTGCTTCTTTTCCATAGCTAGGCCACAAAGATCAAGTTCATAAAAAATCTCAAGATTTTTTCCTCATTGAGGCAGTCGTGCATATGTGGGTGGTGTATGTATATATATATATATGTATATGTGTGTATATATATATATATATATGTGCATTACATGCACGCTTACACATCATTTTAATGATGAAGAGTTTTGCTAGTATGGACCAAAATGCTGAAGTAGTTTTGGAAGACTTGGAAACCAAAGAAGATGCAGCCATTCATCTCTCAAAAGTCAGTGTCATTTGTTTCATACAGGTCAAACTCCAAAAGGATGAATGTAAATAGTTGTGGTGGTTTCACTTGGCTAGCAGCCAAACAAAACTGCTCGCTTGCTCTCCTCTCCCTCCAGGGGACAGGGGAGAGGATTGGATGTGTAAGGATAAGGAGATTCACAGGTTGAGATAAGAGCAATTCAATAACTGAAATAAAATTAAACTTAAAATAATAGTTAAATTTAAATAATAATTATAATAATAGAAAAATGAAATATGAAAATGAGTGATGCACAGTGCAATTGCTCACCACTCACCGACCAAGCCCAGCCCGTTCTCGGATAACAATCACGGAGAATCGACAACCCTGAAACCAAAAATGCATTCCCAGAAGAGCGAGAGAACCGCCACAAAAGAGAGACTCTCATTAATATATTGAAGATGACATTATATGATATGGAATATTCCACTGGAATATCCAATTGGCAGGCTGACTTATTACATTTAATATTCCTCACCCCCCCAAGACCTTGCTCTTGTAGACTAGCAAAACACTTAAGTCGTTCAACTTACAGCAACACTTGAAAACATTAGTATGTTATCAACGTTCTTCTCATAACAAATCCCAGGCTGAAAGCAAAACACAGTGCTATTCAAGCTACCAAAAAGAAACCCAGCTCTGTCCCAGCTAAAACCCAGGACAATAGTTTTTAAGTGGTATATTGTTATTTTTAAAATGTTGCATCTGTATCAAATTCATGCTTACAGGACAATAACTGAAGCATGAGTAACAAGTCAAACACTTGAAGGTTATATATGAATAAAGGTTGTGTTAGAAATATTACACTATCTCAAATTTAGCACACTGCTTTAAAAACACACTTTACCTCAACCTTAAGATCTGCCAAGAGACATACTGGACATTAATTATGTCCAAATACCAGTATCTCAAGGTCCAAGCACCTTCAGCACACCATCACCACCAGACATTCACAGCAGCTCTACCTTCTTTGCTTCTTCTAGGATGCTTTGAATAATTCTGCTCTCAGGATATTTTACAGATCAGAATAACAATGGATCGCAAAACTTCTCAGACTAGGTATGCTTAACAAATATTGATCTGTTGTGATGACTTTTGGAAAATCACGTTGGCTGCTGCCCGCTCTTTGGCTGGGCACTAGGTGAGCGTGGCTCCCCATGAGACCATCCTGAAGAGGAGAGCCCGGGCGTGCTGGTGCATGATGGGAGAGCTGCGGCACCAGCCTTCCCACAGTACTGACAGAAACGCTCATAGCTTTCTTCATGTTACTCCTGACATCAGAAGAAACTGCTTCCTTCAGTCCTTAATTAGAAATAGACAGAGATGGCTCAGGGGACAGCCTGAGAGCAGAGCAATAACCTTACCTGAAGAACCCACGACTGGATTTAATCTCCTACAAAGTCCAAAGAGTTATGTAGTCTCAGGCTAGGCTGAAAGCAATCATATAAAAAGTCTACAGTTTTAAGTGTTGAAGAGTTGAAGAATCTCCTTTTCCTTCTTTCTCTCTCTCTTTTTTTTTTTTTTTAAAGCACACCATTTCTGACTCAATTTACTTCCCTCAGACATCACTACTTCGAACAACTCAAATAAAAAGGTCTAATCTCCATGATGAACTGGGTGGAGACAATACACCAACATATTGTCCTGTCCTTCAGTTTTAGGGAATGCCCAAGTTTTGCGTTCAGAGGAAGATGCCCTTTTCCACAAACTAAAGTGCTGCACCTTCACTGAGGAATTACACGCTTTCACAGATGTATGGTGTGCATTCATGATGCTGCTTGACCTTTTCAGAAACTACAAAATAGCCACATCACCAAGGGGAGATTCAGGAAGGATACCGTTATTTTGCTACGAGATCACCCTCCTTGTAACAGCTGGCATCTTTGAGGCTGTAAAAGACACGGGTAGGTAAATTGAGGGCAAGATGGTTGGTGCTCCCCGTGCCCTGCATCGGCTTATTTTCTGGCAAAGGAAGGGGGCAGTGACTCAGGCTGTCCTACTGCCATGACAGAGGAAGGCGTTACCGCACGTACACACACACCTGGTGACAATTACTGAACTCACTGTAGTCTGCTGTAACCTGCAATCTCACCTTTGCTTTTCCAGACCTTCCACTATCATTTTCCAGTCCAAAGATTTAGCTCATTATTATCTGAATTGTGAGGGCTTTGCAACATATCTTCCTTCTACCTCCCTCCACACACAAATATTGTGATACAGACTTAGCAAGAGTAGCTTGTTTATTTGCAGTTAATGTCTTTGACCCAGGAGGCTGTTCTCCTTCACCCCAGCAGCTGTGTGGCACTTCACGCAAAACTTTCAGAACCTTAAGTCTAGACTTATTAATAACAAAAGCAGAGCTGATACTTCGCACTAAGGTGCAACTATTTCTTAAATTGGCAAAAAACACAGTTCCCGTGGGCTCCTGGCAGGCCTTTGCTAAGGAAGATCTAGATGCCATTTGCAAGGGCTGAGCTTCTTTCCTGGATTTTGTCAACTTCCCCATTTGTGCCCAAATTGACCCTTCTTCCCATAATCAGATTAAGAGGCTCCATAAAAAACACTGCCAGACTGCAACACCCACTCCCAGCATCGTGGAAATGAGACCATTCCCAAAGTGCCAGGTGGAGTCCCTGAATAACCCCTGGGAGTCTACTGAGCTGATCATGTTCCAAACAAGGAACAAAAACCCCCCAAAACACAACCCACACCGCCAAGTGACTAAAACATATATGCATTTCAAGAATAAAACTAGATCCATGAACAAGTTTTCTGTGAGAACATATATATCTTTGAAATTAAATTTTAGCACACGGTCATTTCTGAATTATGAACCAAGTTGGAACTGCTTCAAAACCATGAAAAGCAGGCAATATGTCAAGAAAATATATTTTTAAATGCTTTACTGGTTATTCTCAATACTTCCCCACAAATTGTAATCTGGCACACAAGTCAATATACTAATTTCAGGCTGAAGTGAGGACAATTTCTTAAATATTTAATAGTCTAATTCTCCCCTGAATTACCACATTCATGCCAAAGTAGCTAAACAGAGGAATTCCAAGGAAAAACTTAGACAACACAATAAAAAAAACAGACCAACCCTGATGCAGGACAGTGATTATGAAACTGAATTTGGAATGGAAATTGGATTCTAAATTTAAAAGTGCTGTCATTCCTGTATCTCTGCAATATTTTACAACACAAAAGGACTAACCTGCTGAGACCCAAACATTTTCAGAAAACAGTCTTAATCCTGACAATTTAATTGCAACAGTTCAGGTTATTTTGCTTGCTGAATTGCTGTGCTTAACACGGAAGTGCTATCATTTAATGCCTGTTTGCTGTTTTACTGTCCCTGTTCATGGTTTTCCTGGCCAATTTCTTGGTATCAGTTCCATTTTCAGCTAAGGATAAACAATGCCTGTTTGGCAACCAATTGCTTAGGGGTTATGGTGAGCTCTTAGAGATGGCAACCTGACATTTTTGAGCAATACATGGTTTCCCTAATGACATTTGAACTATCGGTTCAATTATAACAAAGGGGCTGCCTTTGATGAACACAAGGCATAATTATCAAAATACCTTCCTAGGTTGCAACCGACATTTTTAGACTTTTTATCTAGCTTAAACAGGAGAAGTTAATTTGAAGATTTTTACAGTATTTTTTTCCCATTTACAAACAGAAATGCCGTGGGGTAAAGCAATTACTCTGATTTACTGTTTTCACTTTGATTGAACATAAAGATGTAGCAGGGTCTCAAAAAAGCAGTAACTTAACAAACTGTGTTCCTATCCACAGACAGATAAAGTACCTACTTTGCTATTTCAAAGAGTTTACCTCCAGGCAGCAGCACAGAGCAAACATCAATCAATGACATGTGTCTAAGATGAGATTGATGTTTACTCTCACAGCTTTTCATCTTACATCCAATAAATTATTTTTCCTTCACCAAAATGCCTGGTTAAATTTCATTTTTCACTTTGCAGTATCAGTTTTAAAACTTTAGCTTCCAGCAATCTTAAAGCTAGGATTCATTGATGCTTCAGCTTTTACAGCCTGTTTATGAATTGTATTAACCACGAAACACTACCGTCCAAACATGAATACGATCAGGGGGAGATGAGCTGGGCCAGCCACTCGCGTGGTGGCAGGTGCGGGCTGGAAGGTGCGAGATTGCTTTAATTATCTGCCTGGAAATTCTGAGTACAAAACCCAGAACTATATTTTCAGAGGCAGATATATCGCGTCTACAGAACAAATGCATATATATATATATAATATCTGCAAAATCAGCATCTGAGTCTTCAAGGCAGGTCTTCTGAGGGCTCACACTGGGCAACTGGAAGGAGCCAAGGAAAGACTAATTGTGGGCGCAGTTGTTATCTTACAGGCGCTCACATCTGACATTCATAAAACACGAGCACTTTGCAGGCAACCTGACTGAATTTTAAATATGTATTGAAATACTGAGAAAACCTAGGGTTGCAATTGAGACTGGGATCTAGGTTGTTGAGTCAAAGCAGTAAACACCACAACAGCGGAACATTAAAAAAAATCCAATTTAGTTCAACATCTGCTTGTACAAGAGCACCTCTTCCAGCTTAGCTACAGACAAAACATGCACATTTTCTTCCCTCAGTGAAGTTTTGCCCAGTGACAGAAACTGTGATATGATTCCAATTTTTTTCAGTTTCAGGAAATGTAACTTCATCACATTACAAAAACGTACCAGTCCATACCTACGGTATACATAGGTATTAAAAAAATAACCATTCAGTATTAATGGGTAATTCCTTGTTTTGGTTTTTTTTTGCTATTAGGTGCTGTTGCTCTCTTTTTACAACCCTAAAACTACTAGCAAAAATACCTAAGATAGATGATGATCTGATAACAACACTGAGACGAGCTAGAAACAGAACATTACTATTAGTTTTAATTTTGCACTGCTCTAACAATATATTGTTTCAAAGTATATTCACAAGTTAAAAATTCACTGCTATTAATAATCTTACACCTGGAATGGGTGTTTCTTTTCCTCCACAATCCAAAATGATATTTTAAACTTCCAGAAATTAAATTGAGATCTTAGCTGTCAAGAAACAGATACTGTAGATGAGCTAGGGGAAAGTATTCCTTTTGTATCATCAGCCATATTTTCCAAGTGGAGAGAAAAAAAAAGACTGGAGAGCATAAACCAGACCAAGCACAGTGAAGTCCTTTCATTTGATTTTATTAATGTCACTTTTATGTTGTAATTCAAAAATACAACAGCTGAGGGGATCAATAAGGAATCTTTTTTTCTGCCCAACCTAACATTACTGGATTCCCTGGCTTGCTACAC